GGAAAAAATGAGAAGTTACCAATGGCATCTTGTAACTTATTGCACAAAGAAAAAAAGATACTTTGCTCATCTTTGATTGGCATGAAGTTACCTGAAGGTTTTTGCTCTAACGTCAAGAGTCTAATATCGATGGAAAATCTTCGAGTTGTCGGGATGAAGTCTCATGATTGTCATACAATGTTGCATCACTTGCTCCCCATTGCAATACGATCGGTGTTACAAAAACATGTGCGGTCCACTATTATTAGGTTTTGCCTCTTCTTCAAGGCAATTTATAGTAAAGTCATTGAGGTCGATAAATTGGAAAAAATGCAATCCCAGTTGGTAGAGACTTTATGTTTGCTTGAAAAACATTTCCCTCCTTCTTTCTTTGATATAATGGTCCATCTATCAATTCATCTTGTGAGAGAAGTCGAGCTTTGTGGGCCAGTTTGGCTACGTTGGATGTATCCTTTCGAAAGAGAAATGAAGACATTCAAGGGATATGTACGCAATCGTGCTTATCCTGAAGGTTCAATTGCCAAAGCGTATATTGCAGAGGAGGCAATTGAGTGTTTAGTGAGTTCTGAAGATTGTACAGTAGGATTGCCAAAACGTTTCCAGGGTGCACAATCTAGACCCCTATCTGGTGCAACGATGATCACACCGACCAATAATGACTTGCACCTAGCACATTTGTGTTTCCTCGAAAACTGTGATGATGTCCAACCATACTTTATGTAAGTAGTTTTTTTTAAATTTGACATTTACTTTGCTTTCATTCTTCTTTATAATATTATTAAAGAATAAAATTGTTTCAGTGAACATATGGGTGCTTTGGTGAAAACGTATCCACAACGTTCTAATGATGAGGAGTGGCTCAAGAACAAGCAAAACGAAACTTTCCCGGGCTAGTTTCGTAGAAAAGTAAGTACAATCTGTCATCATATAGTATTTGTGCAAATTCTTGAATAAAATAGCAAAATTTGAAGTTATTGTACTTGTGGTACTTCGTTTGGACATATTTCAACAAACTTGCTTGTGGAGAATAATACGGTATCAACGGAACTAATGTGGATTGCAGAAGGGCCTAACAAGGATGTGCCCACTTTCAGTGGGTATAAAATCAATGGTGTGACCTACAGCACCAAAGAACGTGATGATATGCGTCAAGTTCAGTGTAGTGGTGTTTATGTAGAAGCTCAAACAATGCTCGTAGTTGGTAAGGAAAAAAACATCCAGCATGGTATACACACATTTTACGGTGTTATCGTAGAAATTTGGGAGTTAGACTACAACCATTTTAGGGTTCCCATCTTTCGTTGTAAATGGGTAGATATGAATAGAGGGGTTAAGGTAGATGATTTGGGATACACTGTGGTTAATTTGAACAAATTAGGTTTTCAGAATGACCCATTTGTGTTGGGGAAACACGTCATGCAAGTATGCTACATTGATGATCCTCTTGAGAAACTATGGTCAGTTGTCCTAAGATTACCTGAGAAAAACTATATGGACATTGATGAAGATAGTGAGGGGTCTGTTGAATTAGAACTCGAGGAGGAGTTGGATGTGAGATTGTTACCACCCAACCACGCAATAAATGAAGATAACAGTAATTACATGCGAGAAGAAGATGAATTGATTGTGTTGGCATAAGTTTTGTTAACCGTTAAGTGGGCCAATTTTTGTATTTTGCTCTGCTAGAGGGTGTATTTTAGGTGGATGTTGGGTGCAGTTTTTTGTCATGATCTGCACTTCATGTCTCTTGGAGAGTCCTAGCCCTCCTGTACCTGTATTTCGCTGGTACTGTGTGTTATGTCACTCTGTATTGCGTTTTGCTTTTTGTGTGGAATCATACCGGCTGTTTTGGGATGGTAAGGGACTTGTGTTTCAAGCAATTGATTTATACTTCCAGGTAAATTAATTTTGTGTTTTCCTACATTTTGGGGTTTATGGCTGCCCTTTGGGTTTTATTCTTTGCTTTATTATATAAAATGTTGTACTGTCAAGGTTTAGTTTGTTGGTTTTCGTGATGTGCAGTTCATGTTGATATGCTAGCAGTGCTTGTCCTCCTGTATATTGATGTTGCTGTGTCTTAAGTTGTGTCCTCCTGATGGATACGTTGGGCCATAGGTTTTTTGCTTTTTGGGTATAACAATAATGCTGTTCACTTGGTGGCTTTTCCCAAGGTTTGTACTGTCAAGTTTTGTTGGTGTGTTTTTCCATTTTGGTTTCTGCTCTAAGGTGTGTATGATTACTTTTAGAATGGATGATTGAAGGATGAACCTGCTTCAAGGATATTAACGGAATGCTTGAAGGATGAAGCTTGAGGGATATCCATGTTGGTGAGTCATTTCCTAACTTCAAGGATATGTACTTTGCATTTACCACTATTAAAAAGAACCAACTTTTTGCCTATAACAGATCATGTTTTGGAGGCATCGTCATGAAAAATTGCAGCACCAAAGCAGTTTCTTGAGCAAAAAAGTTCTTCTCTGGTTGTCGCACTCCATTCCTCAGTACACCTTGGGTCATACATTCTATTTGCATCTCGCCATCTTCTAATTGTTTTTTTTTTGTTTTATGATGTGAGATTGATGGATTGTATGGGTTCCCAATTCCCTTTGTGTGTAGCGGGACAGTACCCAGCCTGTCCATGTACAAATTATTTCGTTTGAATGTAAGTGTTTATTTTTTCATGTCCATATAAATATTTAAAACAACGGTTGTTTAATTGTTTGGGCAGTAGTTTTTGAGTGACTGAGTTGAACTCTTAGGGGGGGGGGGTTGAGTTGGTTTGGAGTGCTTGACTTGTTTTGGTTTGGGGTGGGTTTTGAGTGTGTGTTGGAATTGTTTGCTGTGATGCTTTGGAAAGCTATAGTCTGGACAGGGGCATGAAGATAGGGGGACAAGACAGCTGCTGTAATTGGGACCAAAGAAACCAACCAACCTTCAACTCCAAAAAAACTGCCCAGGCAGTGACCAAGACAGCTCCATTTTGTTTGCTGTCATGCTTTGATCCATTTTGTTTGCTGTGATGCTTTGGTTTCTGCAATTGTTTGCTGTTATGCTTTGGAAAGCCATAGTCTGGACAGGGGCATGACGATAGGGGGACAAGAGAGTTGCTGCAATTATAGCTAACTGTGAAAAAATTCTCTTAAAAACAGTTTTCTTTACTTATTATAGATAACTGTGAAAAAAATAGTGTGACACACACTACTTGTAATACAATACTATTTCTTATAAGTTTAAAAACAGTTATACATTGGGAAACCAGATTAAGAAATAGTAGTCTTAACTAATTATTGACAACTGTGGCAATAAAAACTGTATTTTTTTACGAAACCGACTACTAATAATAGATGACCGTTTCTCACAGCTTCAAAAACAGTTCTACCCATAATTTATAGACTATTGTTCTAAAAGAGTCTTCTATTCCTATTATAAACAACAGTGGCAAAAAACCCATATGAAACAGACAACAAACGTTAGATAACTGTTTCTAATAAATTTAAAAACAGTTCTAGAATAACAACCCAGACTATTGTTTAAAAAGAGTATTCTTAACTTGTTATTGACAACTGTTGTCAGAAAAACTGTATCTTGAACTGAGACAGACAACTAATGATACATTACTGTTTCTCGAAACTTGAAAAATAGTTTTAAAGCATCGCAGCGACACTACTGTTCTGTTCTTAAGAAAAACTAACAGTAGTCTGTTTTTTTTCAACTACTGTTTTTGCATAAACAGTAGTGAATCAACAGTGGTCTGATGATGTTTTTGGCGTAGTGATTGTAGGCTGCTACATTTTTGTTTATCATACCTTGTTGAGCCACAGGTTCCCCATCCACTCTTTGTGTTGAATGTAGCATTATTTCATCGATAATGGATTTTTATAAGACGTCTGTGGAGTAAACTGAAATTGTTTTCATTTTGCAGGTGTTCACCAGAACCCCTTGGGCGGCAGGAGGGGGAGATACCATGGCTGGACAAAAGGGGGGGGGACTGCTGCTCATCTAAATTCTGGGCAAAAAAGAAAAGGGACTATTGGAGAGGAGGCAATTCAAAAAAACACAAAAATTCAAAAAATAGATGTGAAAACTCTATGAGAGATTGGAAAAAGAATGAGAGTTAAGGGTGGCTATTTATTGGCTTTAAGAATGGAAAAAAGGGTGGGAACATAAAAATGTAATGGGGAGGGGGGAACTTTTGTTTTGTAATGGGAGGAAAACTTTGACTGTACTCTAAATTTTTGAGTTTAATGGATGTGTCGTCATTGTTTTTTTGCTTTGGGAAAATGAAACAACAATTAGCCCCCACCCCTCATATTTATTGCTTTTGGAAGTATTAAAACAAAAGCTTTTTCGGAACCTTGGTATTTTTTTGTCCTAAATAAGTGTGTCAAGTAAATCCGGAAAGAAGATTACCGGATGGGTGGTGTTGATTTTGTTGGAGAATTTTACTTAAATAACATTAAAACATAGTGAATTTTTCTATATAGCACCACAAGTACTAAAATGACCTTTACATGATTTTATATTTACTGCTCCATGACGTCCTATCGTCCTTTGTTGGGTGCCGATCATAAAATACCGACGTCAGCGTCACGCCACCACTCAGTTAATATCCATCATGCATGATTTAATGATTTCCATATTTTCACTCTAATAATGTCCAATATTGTTGTGAATGTCTACATTGTCAAAGCCATCAATCTCTCCGATCGGTAAACAATGTCTATAATTTTTACAATATTCCATGTCTATAATTCTTACGATGTTGCATGTCAGTGATCAATGTCCATAGTTTTTACAATATCCATAAAAAAGGAAAATTAAAGTTGATGAATCAAGGAGAGAGAGAATCGATCAAAAGGAGAAAAGAGATACAAGGGCGTTTCAGTAAATGGATATTATTAACAATTAATTAATTAACTAATTTAATGTTAGTTTTGGAAAAAAAACTTGTTCAGTCCTATTTGGGGAAAAAGGTTAAATTTTGGTGCTACTTGGAACAAATTTTACTTTTTTTTTAATGGATGCTACACCCAAAATTTGACTTATAGACTTCGAGGTTGAATTCTATTGGATAATCAAGCTAGTATGATCTTGAATCTGTTTTCTGTTTTAAGATTGACATCGTCTAGTTAAAAGTGGAGTTATTGTTTGAGTATGGTCAATGTTGAATCTGTTTTCAGTTTTAAGATTGGGATGGTCTGATATGTTTTCTGTTGCTTTTGATTTCTCATTCTCATGCTTTTGGTGGGTGTGTCACTGTGTCCCTACTTCACCTTCTCCAGCTTTCATTTCAGGTCCAATATGTAAAAGAAATACAAAAAAGGCTACTCTCTGTTAGGATTTTAAGCGCGTAATACTATTAAAATATCAAGAACGTGAAAAATAAATAACACACTACACAAGAAGAAAATATTAGAGAAAAATTATATCTTCACTATTTCAGAACGATACACAAAAAACTCTCCCTGTTTACAAGTGCTAAATACCAGAAACTTATAAACAGACTTTTCACACCCTACACCCGAATGTATTTTTTTGAGTAACTAAAACCAGTTACTCCCTACACTCACTCACACAATGTTGGTGATATCTTGTGTAGACCTCTCTCTTAACCTTCCTCTTTTTTCCTTCCCTCCCTACGGTATTGTTGCATGGCTTTTAAATAGCCAAATACACAATAGTGGGGAATAATCTAGCTCACACCTCCAAGAGAAAGAAAACAAAACTCAAAAAAAAAAGGCTCTCCATCATTGCAGCTCCTCTTGGTTGTTTCCACGCAGCAACATCTCTTTTTTTATTCCTTTTTTTTTCTTTTTAATTAATCAATCCCAACAAACTCCACCTTGATTAATTAATCAAACCATGGTCCGGCTCCACCTCGCTCATTTCGGCGAGGTCACAGTATCCACCAATCTGAGAAGCTTCAAACGTCACCCGCTTCTTCCATGCAAATGCTCCGCTTGTTGCACTTGTAATTCTTCCTTCTGACAGCTTCCGTGTCAAATCTTTTTCAACAAGTTTATACAAGCCTTTTGACAAAACTCCTTTTGCTACCACCATTGCTCCCCTAGAAATTTTTAACACTCCACCTTGAGCAAAAATTCGGCAGCCTTCTGAGTCTAAAGCCCCCAATGAAATCAAATTTCCTTTTAGACCCGGTACATGTTTCACTCCAGTTAATGTTCTCACCACGCCATCAAACATGCGAACTTGCACTGTTCCAACCCCTGTAATTTTGCTCCGTGCACCATTTGCCATCTTCACAACACCCCATCACAAGTTTGATACGTATCAAACTTTTCCTTAACTAAACACATGTGAAACGAACAACCCGAATCTAATATCCAATCCGATTTACCTAGACTCTTTGTGGTTGCCAAAAACAAGTCTTCTTCACTTTCTTGGTTCGAACTTTCTGCAACCGCAGTCACGGGTGTTTTCCCGTCCTTCTTTTCCTTCCTCCTCTTTGGACAATCCCTTTTGAAATGACCCTCTTCATCGCAGTAGTAACACCGAAAGCTTTTACTACTCGATTTGAATCGTTGGGACGCGCCGCCCCTCTCTTTAGACTGTCCTCGTTCCCGACCAGCTCCTTTTGCTACCAAAGCTTGACCGTCGTTTGATACCCTGTTGCCACCCCGCCGAGTCTCGTTCATCAACAACGCAGCAACTGCTTCATCAAATTTTAAGGTCTCTTTTCCAAACAAAAGCGTGGTCACGATATTGTCAAAAGATGAAGGCAATGAAGCCAACAAAAGCATCGCCTTGTCCTCCTCTTCAATCTTCACATCAATGGATTCCAACTCTGTTGTAATCTTGTTGAATTCATCTAAGTGCCGATTAAAGTTAGCTTCCTCCGCCATTTGGAGACCAAACAATCGTTTCTTCAAGTATAGCCTACTTGTCAACGATTTCGACTTGTACCGGCTCTCCAGCTTCTCCCAAATATCCACCGGGTCCGTCAAACCGAGAACCCCCCGAAGAGTATTATTTGCAAGGCATAGGAATATTGTACTTGTTGCCATGTCCTTCAAATCCTCCCATTCTTCTTCCGACAATTTTTCCGGTTTTCCGGTTTGTCGTTCTTCCGGTGTTTGGCCCACTCAGCATTCGTCATTTTTTCTGTCCTCTGAACCTTCACCTTCAGAGCTTTGATTGTTCCTTCCCGAGTAAGAACACTTTTTACTCGTTGTTGCCACAGAGTAAAATCGCCACGTCCATCGAAAGGTTCGACGGAAACATTCGAACTTTTTATCGATGCCATTTTTCAAGTTCTTCGACTTTCTTCTCTTACCGCTTAGAAATCCCTCCGCCCCAAATGTAACTTGGCTCTGATACCAATTGTTGGGATTTTAAGCGCGTAAGACTATTAAAATATCAAGAACGTGAAAAATAAATAACACACTACACAAGAAGAAAATATTAGAGAAAAATTATATCTTTACTATTTCAGAACGATACACAAAAAACTCTCCCTGTTTACAAGTGCTAAATACCAGAAACTTATAAACAGACTTTTCACACCCTACACCCGGATGTATTTTTTCGAGTAACTAAAACCAGTTACTCCCTACACTCACTCACACAATGTTGGTGATATCTTGTGTAGACCTCTCTCTTAACCTTCCTCTTTTTTCCTTCCCTCCCTACGGTATTGTTGCATGGCTTTTAAATAGCCAAATACACAATAGTGGGGAATAATCTAGCTCACACCTCCAAGAGAAAGAAAACAAAACTAAAAAAAAGGCTCTCCATCATTGCAGCTGCTATTGGTTGTTTCCACGCAGCAACATCTCTTTTTTTATTCCTTTTTTTTTCTTTTTAATTAATCAATCCCACCACTCTCATTATATATTCATTTGCCATAAATGAACTTAACGGAAATAGTAAGTTTTCTTATTCTTAGCCAAATACCCGAAAAAGAAAATGATTTCAAGAAAAATACTGTAGGTTATTTCTAGAAGTCATTCAGCAGCAGTTATTTTCCTGATTTTCAAACGAACCTTTGCAAATTATGATTCAGATTTATGAGAGTAAAAGAAATAAGGTCAACCACTTTAAATCAAACAAAAAGTTACTCCGCAAAAAAAAATGAGAGTAATTTTTTAGAATAAAGCTACATGCATACCAATTGGTGTATATCATGTTTTACACCAAGCATATACACTGACACTGAAACATACTAACAAAAAATACCGGTGATATAATATTATTATAGACTACTCCCTCCGTCTCAAATTAAATTACATGTTTAATATTTACATCGTCAAATTTTATTAACTTTCTTTCCCTATTTTTGTTAGTTATTTGATAAAATAATACTCCGTATAATCATGTCATCGCTAGTTTTATAGATCTTTTGATGTAGTTTTTAAATATGTAATTTTTATTTTTTAATTTTACACCATTTTCATATAAAATGATTTGAAAATAACTTTAGTCAAACATCGAAAACCGAAACATGCAGTTTAAATTGGGACAGAGGAAGTAACATTTTGTGTTAGTATGAGTCTAGAATGATTGGATCACAGTGTACCAAACTGTTGGCATAGGGGGTTACTTCTTAGTTCAGCTTTTGGGTGTTTGCCGAGGGTTTTCTCTTTTGAGTATTGGGCTGTGAACTCTTAGCTTGTTTTATTGTCCGGCCATGGGTTCTATGTGTGGGCTGTGTTTATTTTTTTCTCTTGGGTTAAGGAGCCAAATAGGAGTAAAACAATGATAAAAGCCCAAAATAGGAGTGAGAAGATTAAATCCCACCAATAGGAGTCGCCGTTAGCCATCATAACCTGTCTCCGTTACCAGTAGCCGTCAAAACCAATCCAATTACCCGTTAGCCATCATTAGTTCTTCTTCGATCAGAGCGCCAAGAAAAACCAAATAAATTCACAATTCCTCTGCTTCACAATTCATTTGCTTCCCAATTCACCTACTTCCCAATTCATCTACTTCACATTGTGACTTAATCGGAGAAGATGGCGGACGAAGAAGACACTCGATCGGAAGATAAGCGACCTGCGACAAAGAAAATGGCGAAGTGACAGAAGGTGATGAATCTTAGTTTCCGAATCTGAGGTTTCGTTGTTGTTCAATTGCATTGTGAGATCGCATTGTGACCTAGTTTTGTTGTACAATTGAGTTTTTCCAGTACATGCATGGTCTTGTTCTAAGGGTTTGCATTGTGACCTAGTTTTGTTTTTCAATTGTGTTTTTCCAATTTATGCATGGTGATGTTGTGAGGGGTCGCATTGTGACCTATTTTCGTTGTTCAATTGAGTTTTTCCAGTAGATGCATGGTCATGTCGTGATCGATTGCATTGTGACTTATTTTCGTTGTTCAATTGAGTTTTTCCAGTAGACCTATGATCATGTTGTGATAGATTGCATTGTGATTTAACATTGTTGTTGAACTGCGTTTATCCAGTAGATGCATGGTCATGTTGTGGGAGATTGCATTGTGACTTAGTTTTGTTGTTCAATTGAGTTTTTCCAGTACATGCATGGTCTTGTTGTGAGGGATTGCATTGTGACTTAACATTGTTGTTGAACTGCGTTTATCCAGTAGATGCATGGTGATGTTCTGAGGGGTCGCATTGTGACCTATTTTCGTTGTTCAATTGAGTTTTTCTAGTACATGCATGGTCATGTTGTGAGAGATTGCATTGTGACTTATTTTTGTCGCTCAATTGAATTTTTCCAGTAGACCTATGGTCTTGTTGTGAGGAATTGCATTGTGACTTATCTTCGTTGTTCAATTGATTTTTTCCAGTAGACCTATGGTCTTGTTGTGAGGGATTGCATTGTGACTTATTTTCGTTGTTCAATTGAGTTTTTCTAGTAGACCTTTGATCATGTTGTGAGGGATTGCATTGTGACTTCTTTTCGTTGTTCTATTGAGTTTTTCCAGTAGACCTATGGTCTTGTTGTGAGGGATTGCATTGTGACTTATTGTTGTTTAATTTTAAACAACCTTTTAATATACATGTATCACGTAAATTTGTGAAGAAAGGTGATAGAGCACAGCCTAAAGATGGAAGAATTAACACTTATTGTAATGTGCTTGAGACCGTACGTAGAATTAAAAGCGTGTTGAGAAAGGAGGAGCTTGAAGTCTTTAGAGGCACGGTTTTTGGAAAACTGTTGGATGTTCCTGAAGTTAGATGGATGAGCAATGGGCTCTTAGTTGGTCTGTTAGAAAGGTACAAGTTGCCAAAGCAAGGAATAACTAGATGTACAGAAATGAAGTTCAAAATAAAGGGGAGAAAAGTCTTGTTCACAAAGCCAGAATTTGAACTTATCCAGGACTGGGAAGAGGAGGGAATAGGATAACTTTGAATGATGAAAGGTTGGGTGGCTTCGGGTTAAGGTATTTCAATACAGGAAAATCTATTCCGCGATGTCATATTACGGATGCACTGCTACAGCACAATAGAGATGACCCCGGAGTAGAAAGTGATGATGTTGTAAAGCTAGCATTGCTGCATCTATTGGGCAATGTTATGTTTGGGCACCAATCATGTGTTACTTTTCCTATTTGATACATTAACCTAGTAGATAATTTGAATGCATTCAATAAATTTCCATGGGGTGAAGACATAAGGGAAGAGTTGTTAACACATGCTGGAGATGTGCACAATCCCTTAAAGCTCGTGGAAGGGGAAGAGTGACGTTTGGAGGGTTTGTCTTTTCCTTACAGGTATGGGCATTTGAGAAATTTTCATCCTTGAGAGAGTCGAGGCATTGTCAAATTGTAAAAGGAAGAGAAGATTGGATTCCACGTTGCCTAAGGTGGGAGATTTATGCAAAGATTTCAGGACAGTTTCTTCAGGAAGCCATATTTGAAAATCCAAAGGTTAGTATACTATGGAATTCTCTTTTTATGAGAATATGTAGTAAATCTGGATTATATTAATATATTTTTTTTATTATTTTACACAGTTTGAAGTGTCAAAGATTGTTCCAAGTGAGAGGGAGTGAAATGATCCTTCATTGGCATTACCTGCTAGTGAATACATAGGAAGGGGGATAGATGACACTGTGCAACATATTGAGAGCTCAGAAAAGAGTGCAACTCTAGCAAGAAATCGGAATGTTGGTAGTGCTAAGAAAAGGAACCTTTCAACAACTGGAAATGCCTAAAACAAGCCAAAAGAGAAGAGAAAGAAAATTAGTCACTGCATGAAAGGGGAATTTCTTCCAAAAAGAAAATTTAAGAGGAAGAAGGAGAGCCAGAGTTAGATTATAACAATTCTCAATGACATGAAAAAAAATGCAGGAAAGCCAAGGGAAAGTGCTGAAGATGATCCTTGAGCAGTTAGAAAGACAAAAGGGAGATAATACAGAGGAGAAGGGTTTTAAAAAGATAGATGATGAAATTACCAATGAAAATGAAAATGTTGAGAGTGAAGACATGGAAAATAAAAACATGGGGAAGGATACTATTTTGGAACAAGATGGCACTGACCATGAAGATGTGGGAAAGGATGCTACTTCCAAACATGATGACACTGATCTTGGTCATGTTGACACCACAGTCAGTAATGAGGGAGATGATAAAATCAAAGAAGGTATGAGAGATGAAAGAAGCATTGAGACTTTGCCTAAGTTGTCTGAAACACAGTTCAGTGATTAGTTCCTTGAACAAATGGACAATGAAGTGAATGCAGAGTACCTCATGATGGATATGGACATTAAGGACTTAAGTTCCTTTCTCACTGACACTTCTTATATTCCAACATCTTCTTTTGTTTTAATTTTCTTGTCAATGTCGTCTTGATGCCGCTTAAGACATTCCAGGAAAAAAGGTGTCACATTTGAGTATGTTTGTGTGAGCTTGTAGTTGAATCTTTTCACCTCCAAGTAAAACATGCCAACCTCCATATGTTGTTATGAGTATAGGAAAACGATATCAAGTCATGAGGTACTCTGCATTCGCTTCATTGTCCATTTGTTCAAGGAACTGATCACTGAACTGTGTGTTTCAGACAACTTAGGCAAAGTCTCAATGCTTCTTTCATCTCTCATACCTTCTTTGATTTTATCATCTCCCTCATTACTGACTATGGTGTCAACATGACCAAGATCAATGTCATCATGTTTGGAAGTAGCATTCTTTCCCACATCTTCATGGTCAGGGCCATCTTGTTCCAAAATAGTATCCTTCCCCATGTTTTTATTTTCCATGTCTTCACTCTCAACATTTTCATTTTCATTGACAATTTCATCATTTATCTTTTTAAAACCCTCTCCTCTGTATCATCTCCCTTTTGTCTTTCTAACTGCTCAAGGACCATGTTCACCACTTTCCCTTGGCTTTCCTGCATTTTTTTCATGTCATTGAGAATTGTTATAATCTGACTCTGGCTCTCCTTCTTCCTCTTAGACTTTCTTTTTGGAAGAAATTCCCCTTTCATGCAGTGACTAATTCTCTTTCTCTTCTCTTTTGGCTTGTTTTGGGCATTTCCAGTTGTTGAAAGTTTCCTTTTCTTAGCACTACCAACATTCCGATTTCTTGCTAGAGTTGCACCCTTTTCTGAGCTCTCAATATGTTGCACAGTGTCATGTATCCCCCTTCCTATGTATTCACTAGCAGATAATGCCAATGAAGGATCATTTAACTCCCTCTCACTTGGAACAATCTTTGACACTTCAAACTGTGTAAAATAATAATAAAAATATATTAATATAATCCAGATTTACTACATATTCTCATAAAAAGAGAATTCCATGGAATACTAACCTCTGGATTTTCAAATATGGCTTCCTGAAGAAACTGTCCTGAAATCTTTGCATAAATCTCCCACCTTAGGCAACGTGGAATCCAATCTTCTCTTCCTTTTACAATTTGACAATGCCCCGACTCTCTCAAGGAAGGAAATTTCTCAAATGCCCATACCTGTAAGGTAAAGACAAACCCTCCAAACATCACTCTTCCCCTTCCACGAGTTTTAAGGGATTGTGCACATCTCCAGCATGTGTTAACAACTCTTCCCATATGTCTTCACCCCATGGAAATTTATTGAATGCATTCAAATTATCTACTAGGTTAATGTATCAAATAGGAAAAGTAACACATGATTGGTGCCCAAACATAACATTGCCCAACAGATGCAGCAATGCTAACTTTACAACTTCATCACTTTCTACTTCGGGATCATCTCTGTTGTGCTACAGCATTTCATCCGTAATATGACATTGCAGAACAGATTTTCTCGTATTGAAATACCTTAACCCAACGCCACCCAACCTTTCATCATTCAAAGTTATCCTATTCCCTCCTCTTCCCAGTCCTGTGATAAGTTCAAATTCTGGCTTTGTGAACAAGACTTTTCTCCCCTTTATTTTGAACTTCATTTCTTTACATCGAGTTATTCCTTACTTTGGCAACTTGTTCCTTTCTGACAGACCAACTAAGAGCCCATTACTAATCCATCTATCTTCAGGAATATCCAACAGTTTTCCAAAAACCGTGCCTCTAAAGACTTCAAGCTCTTCCTTTCTCAACACGCCTTTAATTCTACGTACAGTCTCAAGCACATTACAATAAGTGTTAATTCTTCCATCTTTAGGCTGTGCTCAATCACCTTTCTTCACAAATTTACGTGATACCTGTATATTAAAAGGTTGTTTAAAACAATAATAAGTCACAATGCAATCTCTCACAACAAAAAAAAACTCAATTGAACAATGAAAATAAGTCACAATGCAATCCCTCACAACAAGACCATAGGTCTACTGGAAAAAATCAATTGAACAACGAAAATAAGTCACAATGCAATCCCTCACAACAAGAACATAGGTCTACTGGAAAAACTCAATTGAACGACAAAAATAAGTCACAATGCAATCTCTCACAACATGACCATGCATCTACTAGAAAAACTCAATTGAACAACGAAAATAGGTCACAATGCGACCCCTCACAACATCACCATGCATCTACTTGATAAACGCAGTTCAACAACAATGTTAAGTCACAATGCAATCCCTCACAACAAGACCATGCATGTACTGGAAAAACTCAATTGAACAACAAAACTAAGTCACAATGCAATCTCCCACAACATGACCATGCATCTACTGGCGCAGTTCAACAACAATGTTAAATCACAATGCAATCTATCACAACATGATCATAGGTCTACTGGAAAAACTCAATTGAACAACGAAAATAAGTCACAATGCAATTGATCACAACATGACCATGCATCTACTGGAAAACCTAAATTGAACAACGAAAATAGGTCACAATGCGACCCTCACAACATCACCATGCATAAACTGGAAAAACGAAATTGGAAAACAAAACTAGGTCACAATGCAATCCCTCAGAACAAGACCATGCATGTACTGGAAAAACTCAATTGAACAACAAAACTAGGTCACAATGCGATCTCACAATGCAATTGAACAACAATGAAACCTCAGATTCGAAAACTATCACAGGTCGCTTATCTTCTGATCAAGTGTCTTCTTCGTCCGCCATCTTCTCCGATTAAGTCACAATGCGAAGTAGATGAATTGGGAAGTAGGTGAATTGGGAAGTAGGTGATTTGTGAATTTATTTGGTTTTTCTCGGCGCTCTGATCGAAGAAGAACTAATGATTGCTAACGGGTAATTGGATTGGTTTTGACAGCTACTGGTAACGGAGACAGGTTATGATGGCTAACGGTGACTCCTATTGGTGGGATTTAATATTCTCACTCATATTTTGGGCATTTATCATTGTTTTACTCCTATTTGGCTCCTTAACCCTTTAAAAAAAGAAGCAAAGAGAGATTTCCTTTTTTGTTAGAAAAGTTGACTTTTAACATTGAGTAAATTCCATAAAATGTCCTCAGTTATAGGTCGTTTTACATATCTAGTTCCTACATATCAAATATTACTAATTTAGTCCCCAATTATTATATCATTTTTCACGAATGGTCCTTTGTTAACATTTTTGTTAAGAACATGAATAAAAATGTATATTCATACTTCTCTCTCCTCAATTAAACTTCTTCCCTCCTCTTGTACTCTTTCCCAAACTCGTCGTTGAGTTTGAAGGTCTAAATCCAAAACTGAAATGATCATTTCTCTCTCAATTATTAGTCTTCTTGTGGAACGTAAAATTAAAACCAATAAGCTTTATAGATGAGTTTTATCGGTTAGTCTCAATAAATTGCAAAGAAAATAAACATTAAAACTCATCCATGAAGGTTACTGGTTCCGAATTTGGGTTTCACTAGTTAGACAAATAATTGAGAGAAGAGTGATGATTTTTGTTTTGGATTCAAAGCTTCAAACTCAGCGACGAATTTGGGAAAGAAATGCGAGGGGACTAAATTTAAAAGTTTACAAAGCTTCAAACTCAGCGACAAAGTTTACAAAGCTTCAAACTCATTTTCAAAGCTTCACACTCAACGACGAATGTGAATTTTACAAATTTATCCATGTTCTTAACGGAAATGTTAACAAAGGACCATTCGTGAAAATGAATATAATATTTGGGGACTAAATTAGTAATATTTGATATGTAGGGACTAAATATGTAAAACAACCTATAACTAGGGATTTTTTATGGAATTTACTCTTTAACATTTTAAAACTTCTTTTCAACTTTTTCCTAGTTTCTTTTATCTTGTTTATTCTTTCCAGTTTCTTTCAAATTCTTATAAAATCATTTTTTCTAACTTCTTGCATTGTATTCCAATTCCATCCTTTTTTTTCAATAATGACTTAAAAAATCACATAGGTGCATTTTTGTTATTATTCTTACAACAATTGTTTATATTATTATTATCTTTCATTCACCAATCCTTTCATTTTCTTAAATAATGACTTAAGTTCCTTTCTCATCGACACTTCTTATATTCTCAAAGCCACAAATAGTAGGGTTCCCCTACACCAGTCACCTAATTCAATCACTTTCTTGAAACCATATTTTTGAAAAACACACAAATGTCTGGAAAATTGTACCACACTCAGATTTTTAACCAACTGAGATATTGAGATCACGTTTCAACTTAATTTGGAAACAAAAAGAATATCGAATGAACCCGTGAGCGGTGAACCATTGCTAGACTGGATTTGACTGCATTGTTGATCACATTCTCCATAAAGATCTTCACTTGTCCACAGATATTTTCTTAAACCAGACCAAAAATAGGATCCAGACCTCCCAGCAAGAAAGCCTCCGTAGTGGCCACATCAATTTAATCCCATAAAATTTATGTGATCATGATTCAAGAGAGTTGGGTTTCTGAGAAATTTACCATTTCGCCTAAGGTCTATCATTAAGTGTCAACGCTATTATTCTTTAAAACACACCTTAACTTACTTACGACTTACATACTCTTTTTTGAGAGTTTCACAAGTTAAAACTTTGTACATTTTGCTGCCATCAGAAATGATGCTTTCGTATTTGGGACTCGAGTGTTAGGTAGACGTTGACTTGAATGTGCAAGTGGAAATATGGACAAGGGTTGGAAACCAAGATGGAGAATACCTCATACTTTGATTTAGTTATCAATGATTATAAGACTCCTATTAAGACTTCATGTCTATAGAGTTGTCTTTTGTCAAAAAAAAAAAAAAAAAAAATCATTGAACTAGGATGCCTGCCTGCTTCTATATTTGGTTTAAATGAGACCTGGAGTGATATCCCTCTTGTTGAAAGGTGTTTTGAGCTTTGACTGCCAAAAAAATGAGATGTTTTGGTTTTCAAAAAATCAGAATAATTTATAATAAAATGAGAAAGAAAAAAGATATACTTAGTAATAAATAAATTTAACTTACATTTAATGGTGACAAAAAGAACACATACCCAATCCTTTAGGGGTGAAAAAAATAACTAGAGAGTATATTTTTTACTTTTTTTTAAACCAGCATTAACTATGACGCTCTTAGGTAGACTATTACTTTGCAAGTTTTTAGGGTTAAACTAAAGTAGACTGAAATTGAGTAACAGCGGATAGTCGATGAACTAATTTGGGTATTAACTCTTCCAAATACAAGAATGATGTTGCAAAATGCAGCTTTTTCACACCACAAATAAGTGAAAATGCTTCTTTCCAAAGAAAGCCATTTGCCTTTTCAAGGTGAAGATCAAGATGAGCTATGATTGTTTGAGTAGAAGAAACGAAGTTTCAGATGGAGTAATACCTTGGGCTCACGCTAAACATCCATTGAAACCTTTCCTTAGTGCAGTTTCATCAAGGTTTCTGCCTATAAAGACAAGCTTGTTTATTCTTTTCTCTTCTGGTTCCCAACTCTTGCCTGGGCAGCCTTCTAAAACAGAATGCACACCCTGAAATAAACAAAGGATTTAGAACACACAACAAAAACTTGCAGTATTATTGAATTATCCACCTAACAAAATTCCGCTGTGCTTTCATTACCTGAAATACATATCGCTGTTCAGAACCACTCACAGATAAAATCCCTTTCATCCTGTATAGATCTTCACCTTTTTCCTCTACAAGTCTTTCGAGCCAATCATCAACCTGTATTACATAGGATGACAGATGATAAGAATAGAAACTCTTTAAATCGCAAAAGGTTAGGTTTTTTTTCAACTGATTTAGAATTACTTGGCATATCAACACAAGATGGTGGTTCATTGAAACATACTCCGTATAATTTTGAAATATCTATGCTTTATTTTTAGGCTTACCTGATTGAATTATCTTATCATGTTAATGTCTTATGATGGAACCCCCCCCCCCCCACCCCCAACTCCTGAAGTCCTACTATCATTTCAATGCCAGGTCAACACATAGCTATGAAGTGGACCTCGTATGAAAAGAAATTACAAAATGTCTAGCTAAGAGGGTGGTGTGGCCGAACTCTATATATATAACTCCTCTTATTACCATGTTTGGTCGTGACCTGTGAGAGGTGTTTACTGTTTAGTGTCTTCGTTTGAAAATGTTGCTCCTATGAAGAAAATTACTTGGCATACACGAGGTGTCTGGTCATGAGGGGCGTGAAGGAGAAGTTGATGAGTATGTACGACATATGCTAACTACTCCCCCTGTCCCAAAATTAAATAAATTCTCTTCCAAGTTCCCACATCCTTTTTCCGTCCGTCCGAAAATTATGTCTCATTTCTTTTTAAGGAGAAAAATATGCGGTCCATACTATTTCTTTCCCATGCATAAATATCAATTACACGTTTGCCACTTTCATAACTCATAAGTCATGTGCCCAGTGAAAGAGTGATATAATATTGGGAAAAGGAAGTTTAAAATAACAAACCAACATATATGACTTTCACATACTCCTATAAGATCCACGTTTTAGAGAGAAGAGAAGTTTAGATATGTCAAATCATCAACAATCAAACAAATACAAAGTTATAGACAAATCTTTAAGATCTTTTATTATTCCTACTATGATGTTGACTTTTTGTGATAGAAATTCAATCATTAATAATACTCCGTATAAAATTCATCTACAACAAGTTTAAATAATCTAATTTATATTACAACAACAAAGCATTATCTCACTCATTTATATTAACATAGAAAATTACCTCATCTAAGTCTAAGGTTCCCTCGGAAACGATGCTGACACTGTTGACCGCCGAATCATGCACATGATCATGATGGTTCCCTTTGTGATGTTCTGCCCAAAACAATGTATACTGTGAAAATATGCGGAAAATTCAAATAATATAGTAGAGGAGTATAGGATCATATGCGCATAAAAATTCCTACATTTGGGTAAAATCACAGAGGTTTCTCAGGTTTATCAACCATACAGGATGAAATTAGAGTTTTTTCAATGCACAGATAGAAGCATATGCCTTAGCCTAATTACATCAAAGTTGGAGAAATCAGCTACCATGTTCATCTTCATGGTGATGCTTGCAATGAGATCCTTCTGGGTGAACTTCTGAATCAATTCTGCATACAAAAGCTTGAATAACACTTCATTCATAGAAGAAAAGAAAAGTCATATCACTTTGCAGGTAGGATTACCTATCAAGATCATAGCCTCCAACTCCCAAAACAAAATCCATATCCACCACCCCAAATTTAGCTCTCTTTATCTGTGCCATCCCATTGATATGCTGAAACATTTATGAAGGTCACCAAAATGTATGTGAAGATATTTAACTATTACCCAGAAAACAGTATTTTGAAGAACATTATTAGTCCTACCTGGGAAAACTAAACACATTGACTGGTAACTGTTTGGAGAAGTCTTGATTTGATTATTATGCATTTTTATAGCCAAATAGGGGGACATTCGGACAAGGGAATTCAACCAGCATCTAACATCTTTTGTGTCTTACATAATTAATTAAATCTTGTTAAAGGGTACTTAGAAATGAACCTTCTTAGAATGAAGATTGTACCTTAATTTCCTTAGTCAATGCCGTCAAGTCAGCCTCAGAAACCAAATCTATCTGTTGTAGACCATAATTATCATGTAAAAGCATTGATAACCATACAGAGGTATTCCTACGGATGAGCTCATAAATTATATAGAGAAAGTACATGGGATAGAGGTGAGATTAGCCAGAAGCTTGACCTTGTTCAAGATAATACGATCTGCATAAGCAACTTGTTCCACAGCTTCATTCACTACAAATCTGGGTTTAATCTCAAGTAAATGCTGCATGGCGTGTTTGGAGTCGACTAGAGTAACAACTCCATCAAGTTTCACGCGTCTTGAAACCAATTCATCAGAGCAAAATGTTTCTATGACAGGGCCTGGCTTAGCGAGACCTGAAAAACAACTATAACTAATTGAATGCTGTGATCTGTTTCAACTAATTGCTTTAACTCAATAACTGACATCTGAGCTTCACACTTATCTATATTTTTATATATAGACACGCGCTCTCACACATGTGATCCAATATTCTTTCATGGGATAAACACTACGAGAAAGCATATTTGAATTTCAGGTAACAGGGTCACAGAGGCTCAGGAACAAGCAGGACCTATGGTTTATAAATTGTGTGATATGATCTGTTACTCCAAACAATCAAGTATGTCCATTACCAGTAGAGCTAAAAGAGTCATTACTGACAATGTTTTAGCTTTGGGCAAATAAAGGATTAAATCAAAATGCCACAGTTAAATTCTATAGCTTCGTACTTCAAATGAAGTGTTGGGTACTAAATGCAGCAATGCATCAAGGGTCTAACAGAAACCTCTCTGTTCTTTATAGATGTAGGAATCATACACCCCCCCCCCAATGAATTAGGATTATATTGGGTTTGTTGTTATTGTACTCCCAACAGTCTTGGAGATAAGTTTTAAATGACCATTCACAATTTGTAAAAGCATGTACCATGATGGAGTTGACTAAAACTCAAAATTGTACCTTCTTCAAACATGACTCTTTTTACAGTTTTTAGGACAAATAGCACAAGTTGTTCTGCCAGAGGCTAGTCTTCTAGTTTCCAAAAACCACACAAGTGAAAGAATGTAGTAAACTTCTTTACACTTGCACACATAAACAAAAAAAGGGATGAAAAATCTATGTTTTAAAATTATGTAGGCATACCTGTGGTCTCAATCACTATATGATCAAATTGGTCTCGTTTTGTCTTGACCAACTCCAAAAGCAATTTCACAAGATCTCCACGTACAGTGCAGCATAGACAGCCATTATTCACCATGACAATGTCCTCATTCGATGATGAATGACTAGCAACTAACGAGCCATCAATGTCTACCTCTCCAAACTACATAGATCAATATATAAAGATACTTTAATATGATTAATAAAAACTGTGGCATAGGCAGCAATTGATGGCCCTGCATAGTTTCACTAGATGATAAATAATCAATGCCTATCAGAGAATGACACCCCCCCCCTCTCCTCACACTCCAACTTCCAAACAACATTCATCAAAGAATTGTAAAACTGTAATTAATAAGACATTTTTCATACAAATTACATCGGTGTCATCTGTTAAAATGATTTTTCATAGATCACATAACTAGGAAGTATAAACAATTACTACGTCTCAAAAAAACCAAGATGGGTCCACTATATAAAGGAAATACCAAAATCACATGAACAACTATATGAAAAAGATGGGTCTTTTTCATGTAAACCACAGGATTCAAGCAGCTTGGTCATAATGGCGAAATGCTTTAGGCTTTATATGTGACAAAAAGTACCTTTAATATTCAAGAGAAAGTTTTACCGTACCGCAATTAAACCAGCTATGTTGTATGGAACATAGTGTTGGGCATCAAAGGGTGAACATGAACTCAAGGTTAGTGTGGCCAAAATGAAGATTCTTTGATGGATGAGGAGTCATACATATATGGATAGAATATAGAATGAAGATATGAGAGCTAAAATTGGAGTGGAACCTATTATAGAGAAGATGGTGGAAGCTCGTCTAAGGTGGCTTGGATATGTAGAGAGAAGACCCATAGAGCATTTGGTGAGAAGGGTTGATCAAATGGTGAATACACATGTGGCTAGAGGAAGAGGTAGACCTAAGAAGACTTGGCACAAAGTGGTCAAAGGGTCCTTTGCGTGAATGATCTCACTGCACATATGGTACTTAAAAATCTATTTTGCCTCTTAGTCTGTAACTTTTTTTATACTCGGTATATATACTCTGCACTATTAATTTATATTTAAGTTAATGTTATTTAGTGTTATTAATATATAACAATCTTGATTTCTTACGTGTTGCAACTTAGGTCACCTTACTCACCTAATTGTCGCCTAGGTAGGTAGTCGTCTAGGTGTCATGGTGGTACACTGGCCCCTCGTCTTGGCGATGTGATAACTATGGTGTATGCTCATTTACGAGTTACATTATGCTCATTGGATAAACATGACAAGTAGGTACATCCAAGTGTATGATATAATTTGCATGTGTTTAGGGGAAAATCATTAGGAACACTTGGTGCTTTATGCTCAAATGCTCACTAACATGTTATTATCATTGCCTCTTGGTCTATATTGTAATTATTAATTAACATGTTATACTCACTGCATGAGCAAAGGTGCTAGCATCAAAACTTTGACAAAGCAAGAGGTGGTTTGACTAGTAGAGTAGTGTGTTATGGGTGAAAAACTCAAATATACAATTACTCTTCCAGCTCTTTTGGAGATGGAATATACAATTACTCAAATACGGTAGCAAACTGTGTTTCCTAATAGGAGCTCATTTTTTAGGTTTCGAACAGGGCCTCAAAATTATACGAGACGACCTTGTATACCCTTGTACCATAGTAATACACCATATACCTAATCGTGTTTATGTTTGAAGCACTAGTATTCATGGCATATTGTTATTTGGTTAATTTTTTAACTTATGTTTTAAGCCCGAAGTACTCAGCCATTTCAAGCCAGTTGCTCAAAATGGCGGACTGCTTTGGGCTTTATATGTGACAAAAAAGTACCTTTAAACATAAAGGAAAAAGTGTGGCCGAAATGAAGATCTTTCAATGAATGAGCGGTCATACCGTATGGATAGAATAAGGAATGAAAATATGAGAGCTAAAGTTGGAGTGACACCTACTGTAGGAAAGATGGTGGATACTCATCTTAGGTGTTATGGACATGTGGATAGAAGACCAATAGAGCATCCTGTGAGAAGTGTTGATCAAATGGTGAACAAACATATGGCTAGAGTGTTGGACAATGTGCTATCATGAATATGTATTTTTGCAATGTCATTTGCCCATTGTCTTTTAGGTTTTGATAATGACAAAAGGGTGACAAAACATCATCATCATTTTGTGCATCAAGGCTAAGAATCAAAGCTACAACAAGTTCATATCTGTCCGTGAAGAAGGGACTTGAGCATCGGTGGAAGGAACGAAACCGAAGAGGTTGTTTCCTTTGTTGGGTAGTGTTTTAGGTCTTAGATTTTGTGTTAAAGAGTATGGCATCTCTAAGGTTCATTCCCTTATCATCCTACCTTTAAAACACATTTTTTTTTAGCAAACTATTCGAATAAATTGAAAACTATTCAAATAAATCCCTGAAATTCTATTCTGACTTAGTTGAATAAATCCAGAACTAGTTGAATAAGTCAGACTGCAGTTTCACCAAAACTAGTCGACTAAGTCTTGACTTAGTCGAATAGTTCGACAGTTTCAACTACCAAACGGCTAACTTTTTGAATGTTTTTCATCCCTATCCACTCCCTAACTTCTATAAACTACCCTATCTCGTGTTTTTGGCCAAGAATATACATTGAAAATACTTAAAAACATATTCTTTGAATATCCAAAGAGATTCTACTCAATCCCCTTCTTATATCCAAGCAAGGCAATTGTTTTGATTGCTAAATCATTTCTTGCTTGAGTTTTTCCTCATTGCTTGAGTCTTTGAGAGATATTGCCATATTCTAAAGGGCTTCATTGTATTTGCAACAATCTACTCCGTGTTGGGAGAATTACTTGGTTGCGGTTTGTTTTCTTACTTTATTGTAAGGGATTTGTATTTTTGGTGTTGGGATTACACCAAGTGGTAGAAATCCTAACGGTTTGTGAAATCAAACGTTAGGTGGAAGAAATCCTGAGTTTTGTGAAATCAAAACTTCGGTGGTAAGATAAGAGGCTTGTGAAATCAAGTTCTCGAGTTGTATTCGGATTGTAAAACTCCGTTAAGTTTGACGGGTTAGTGAAGGCCTGGGCACGATTGCTTCGGGGACTGGATGTAGGCATTTAGGCCGAACCAGTATATATCGTGTGTGCATTGCTCTTATCCTTCACTTTATTTTGTTTGTGGTGCACTGTTTTTATTGAATATTCGTGAAGAACGTTTCCGCGCAAAAAACTGGTCTTTTGGGCAACACCTCTATTCACCCCCCTCTAGAGGTGTGCGAGGCGTCTAACAAGTGGTATCTGAGCAAGGGATTTTCAAAGCTTTACCGCTGAAAATTTAAAAAGATCATGGCCCGAAGAACATTTCAACCCGGAGTTTCCGAAGGACAATCCACGACAAGGCCACCCACCACTCTTTGACGGCACAAATTATGCTTATTGGAAAGAGAGGATGAGAATATTCATCCAATCAAATGATTATGATTCTTGGCTGGTGATCAAGCATGGAGAGACGGTTCCCACGAAGATTGTTGACGGGGTTCTTGTTCCAAAGTTAGAAACCGAATATACCTCAAATGACAAGAAGAAGATGCAATTAAATGCAAGGGCCATCAACTTTCTATATTGTGCCATGAACCCGGATGACTATCGGAAAATCTCAAGGTGCAAGACGGCCAATGAGATGTGGAACAAATTAGAGGTCACATATGAAGGAACAAGTCAAGTGAAGGACTCAAAGATCGACTTACTCACCCATGAGTATGAGCTTTTCATGATGATGGAAAATGAAACAATTGGCAAGTTCGAGAGATTTTCAACTATCGTCTCAAATTTGGATACACTTGGGAAACATTATGATGATCATATTCTCGTTCGAAAAATCCTTCGAAGTCTCACACCTGAATGGAAGTCTATGGTCAACCCTATCAAAGAAGGCCGAGATTACAATACATTGACATATGACGCACTTCGAGGTAAACTACTCACTTATGAAATGTCTAACTTTTCTAGTGCAGCGGAGATCAAAAGGGATCAAAATCTATCATTCAAAGGAGTTGCACTCAAAGCTTCATCGTCAAAATATGTCGAGACAAGCGGCTCTGGAGAAAGTGACATTCTCGAGTTATTTAATGACTTCTTGCAAAATGAGCTTGAGCAATTGAATGAGAGTACAAAGCCTACTTGCTATAGATGTGGAGAGCGTGGACATATCAAGGGTCATTGCCCTAATCGAAAATTCAAGAAGTCCAAACG